TACAACCTGACATTCAGCCATACCACACCTTAAATCATATTAAAATAACCCCACCCTTCCCCAGTCCATGAATTCCCGTATTTGGAAAGCTCACTGTGTTACATTACCTATAACCCCCAAAGACAAGCAAACATAAAGGATTTTCTCAATCCACTTGGTTGCTCAGTTCAGCTCACAACACAGCTGTACAAATAGACTGGGGGGCACTGTTGTGCTACACCATACAACAGCCTGTGGGCAGAGGCAGACAGAAGCCCTGCTTTAGCAGCTATACCTCAAAACTGCACCAACCTACAAGAAGATGCTGTAAGCATGAAACCTAGTGCAGGCTGAATGGCAGCTGTCTGTGGAAGCTGAACATCCCACAGGTGTACACACACCTTGGTGGGGCACATCATATTCCAATACTGCATTGCTACTGTAAAAAGCATTCAAATATGCACATCCTCTGGTGGTTCATAAACCATCAAGAATTAATGTTTTATAGAAATGTAATAAAACTAGTCATTCACAAGAGAAAAAAATAATCCAAGACTCATTCAAGTTTGGTAGCTGATTTACAAATGAAGTCATTTAGTCAAGTCACTCTCAGAGTAACTCTTCTGTGAGTTTAAAGTAAAGCAGCTGTTAAATTTCAGAAGTTATTTATAAAGATGATCAAAACTAGCTCCAAATTAAATACTTTTCAACTCTTGCTACTGTATTTCTCTCAAACAACAAAGTTCTCTTAACCAACTGCTGATGGAAATTGTTTCATCAATTCTCCCTTTAAAGATTTCAGCACCACACCCCTCACACTGGGATTCTTATTTAAATGTTAATTGCCTCTCATGAGACATCAGCTCAATAATTCTTTAGCACAGTTCATCACAAGACATTTTAATGATCCAGTCTTCTCACTGGGTTTTACATGATCTGGAGTTTCGGAGAGGTTTACTTACTAGTCTTTAAAGTCCTAGAAGGGTCAATGAAATCAGTAAAAAGAATGCAAGAGAATTTTTTGCTGGGTTTTAAGCTCATAAGGATTGTGCAATGCAACTATGAAGTAGTAGCGGACTGATAAAAACATCTAAATATGTATCTGTGAGGTCAGAACATGACATAACAGGGAGGTTACACTAGTAATTTTTATTAACTGCATTCACAGGCATGTATCTTTCTCCAGACCATGTGAAGCACTTACCTGAACACAGCCTACAGCACCCTAGGAACATCAAATACTAACCCTGTGATTTCTTAGGCCCACAACTGTAACAACTGCACCTTCTTCCTCAACTAATTGGTAACACTTTGGTTAAAAATGTTACTTTACAACCATAAAAGGTGAAAATAGAGTATAACTGAAAAAAATTTTAAAGTTTAAATTCAAAATGCAAATACATGCCTACTTGCTTAAAAATTACTCGTGTACTTCTATTGTATAGTAATAGAAAATAAAATAGACATACTAGGCAAAAAGTCCCAAACTGTTCACCTATGAAAGGGACAAAGACTGTTTTAAGCTTTTGAAAGGTGATCAAACCTAATGACCTTCCATAAACATTAACATGAAAACTATACACATTAAAAAGGCTCATTATTTTAATAAAATACACCTTCCCCCCCATTACCCTCCCCAATATTCTGTGCTTCCTACATAAACATACCAATCTAAATGAAAAAGATTATTACGACCTTGTTGCCACAGTAAGCATACTTTTGCCAATAGCTCCCCTCTGGCCTATCCTTAGCAGGGTTTTGAATTATACAGTTTAAAAAGTTTAAGTGTGTGACAAACCCATGAGAAATCTACCAGGCTCTACTATTCAGAGCCACATACTTCAACTGAAAGAGAAGTTAATGAGATTTTTACAGCAGGAAACATAACCAAATGCAGTAAAAGAAAGATCTGAAACATCAACCCCTTGATGCATTTCTGATAGCTGCTCGGTCACTTCCCATCAAAACCCACAAATGTGACAGCATACAGAAGCAGCCCATCAAGAAACTAACTTTGTGAAGTTTCACAAACTGTCTGAAGCAAAGATTTTACAAGATAATTTGACACATTTGTCAAAAACTGAGTAATCTGCTGAAAAAGAACAAGTTACCATAGAAATTGGCTGAGGATTTTAGTTGATACTGCTCAATCTTTTTCTTCTCCTTTAGTTAATTTGGACAAATACAGCTATACAGATTTCAGTCAAATGCAGTTACCAGTGACAAGCCATCCCTGCTTTTTGACTGTTGTGATAATGACAATATTGGCTGTGGTAGGAGACATATGACTACATTTCAAGTTTCAACACTATCAGCACTGACATAGACTGTCTTTTATCACCACCGTTTGTTCTTTAAGTGGCTTCCTGCAGCCAACACGGAAAAATCACTATCAGAGCTAGTCCCACTATAAAAACAGCTGCACCAGGTGGCAGTAAAATGACAACTGCTAATGGTCTTGGCATTGACAAGTCACCATGGAGGAGTACTCCTCTGAAACTGTCCTCCAACGAGTCCAATGGGTAGGCAAGAAGATGAACACTCAAATCCTGCATTATTTTTTCCTCCATATACATAATGTGTAACTCATTCACGCAGACGACCGCAAATATTTTTTCAGCGTAGAATATAAAGCCACTTTATGCACTTCCCATTTTTCATTAAAGCCTTTCTGAGCAAGCACTACTTTTATACTGATCTCAGCAGTATCTTCATTACCAGGATGTATTTAAAACATTTAGGAGCTTAAAGGCAACAAAATTTTTCACCACCAGTGACATTGTGCTCACTGGGAACAATCTCTATGGAGATTGGTGAGCTGTATCTATTATGAGACGGGGCATCATCGGGCGGCTAGCTAGCACTCCCAGCCATCTAATACACGACCTTCAATTCAAAGCAAGTCCCTTCAGCAGTGTTACCTTGCTGCTGTACCTTGTCTTCCTCATCCATTTATACTACAATAGGAAAAGAAGCAAGCAAAAACCCAAGCAAAACCAGTTCAAAGGTGACAGAAATGCCAAATTCTCATTTCTGATCACTTCATGCAGTGTCTGTAGCTTTCGTATGGCTGTACAACAGTACTGCACAACATCTCTGGTAGGAAGTTGCACGTTCACAGCAAGCAGCAAAACCAGTGTTTCCTTTAAGGCAAAGGATTTCGATTCTAACCAACAGCACTATATTTTTAAGTACAAGACAAACATTCCTTACCTTAATTCATCTCCACTGCAATTCTGGTTGTTTGTTGGTTTTGGTTTGTTTGTGGGTTGTTTTTTTTTTTAAGAGCCTATTCTCTTTTCAAGTTGCTTACTTGAAAATCAGAAACACAGAAATCAAAACAAACCATCAGAAATTACATCTGCCGAACCAGAAAAGCTGATTCGTTTTGTGTCTTCCACGCATTTGATAACAGTTCGGAGCTAGTTCAATTCCCCCGGTGGTTTCAACAGGCATCAGGCTGGGTCACGAAGGTGACGAGGAGTTAAGAGTTACCAGCAGCCAGCTCATCACCCGATCAAAGGACCGGCTGCAGCTGTACCACTCACCGGAGTGCCATCTCTCTCCTCACCCCACCCATGCACACACCCTCCGTGACACCATGAAAATCTGCCTGACGCAAAAGCGGAACCGCAACAAGAACACGAAACCGTTTTAAGCAACTTCAGGAGATAACTAAATTCGAGGCTGTCTCTCTTTAAGACAGGGGAGGCATAATTAACCAGAAATTTCCTCACAGAAGAACGCTATAATCATGCTTCCTCAACAACTTTCAGATTATATATTTAGCATGTAATTTTATCCATGCATCCTTCCACGTCCACATTAAACTCTTCTGTCCCCAAACCCACTTTGTGTCCAATATAAAAAGGGGGGAGGGAAAAGCCACCCAACCGAACCAAGTAAGCTCTTACTCCGCGCAGTTAAACATTAATGTTTAATAATCACCTCCCAACAGCACTGAGCATTTTGGGATGTCGGCCTAAAGGGTTACTCGAATAACTTTCACCATAAATTTTTGCAGGATGACTAATGAATTGCGAGCTGCAGTTTGGCCATAACCACAGCGAGTAACCTGAAGTCCCCTCCTGACGGGGTACGGCATGTCTCAGGAAGTTCAAAGGGCTAGAAAGCATCATCTCGTGATACATTCAGGCCAATTCTACCAAAAAATACCATTTCCCCCCTTTCAGGTTCACCGAAGTCCGTAGCTCAGAGCCACCACCTCAGCACTGTAGCGTGACAGCAACACCCTAACGCTTAGCAGACATTAATCATTAACCGACTGGGTTAAAGCCGACTAATTTAGCTGATCCCAGGAGCTGTGAGAGCCTTCCAGCTCCTCCAACACCCTCCCCCGAAGAACACCCGACGGGAGCTACCGTGCCCGCGTCCTCCCCTGTCCCTCCCCTTCAGCCAAGGGCAGGATTGCAGCAGCACCCAGCACTGCAGCAACCCCACGTCCCAGGTTTTCTCTGGAAGCAAAAAGCTCACGGTTCCAGCACCAGCTCCTCCTCCCCACGTTAAAACAAAACGTATAAAAACAAATAAAAGGAGACGAGCATACGGTCGCTCAACGGGGCTGAGCTGGTTTAAGTTGCACCCATGCCCACAGCCTGCGCCTCTGCCTCGCTCTCACCGAGTTTGTTGCAACATGTGCCGGCTGCCGATGCTCCTGTGCGCCAAGGCAGAGATTCCGCGTCCGCGCAGTTTAACCCCACCCTTCCCACCGCCTGTCGCTTCCCCCACCGGGAGAGGAAAAAAATACATTAAAAAAGGGAAAAAAACACTGAAAAAAAGATCCCAAATAAACATATACGTCTGACCGCTTCCCCTCAGCTTGTATCTGTCTGTATACAAACAAGCTACGAGGAAGAAAAATCTCACGATGTGTAAAACAAGGGTAAAAAGGTAAAAATTAAGCAGAAAATGATGGGTTTTCCCCTCTCGCGCCCCGTCGCGGCGCCGACCCCGCCGCCCCGAGGAGGCAGCGCCGCCACCAAACCTCCTCACGCACGTACCTTGCCAGGCTGCCGCGGGGCTCTGCCGGGGTTCTTCCTGCCGCCGCCTCCACGTCCACCATGCTTTAGTCCGGCCGCCGGCTGCCTCTTAAGGCGGGGAGGGTGTCCCCCCTCCCCGGCCTGTCGCCCTACCGCGGCCCCAGCACCCGGCGGAGCTCCATGCTGCGGCCGCCGCACTCAGCCAGACCCCGCACCGGGCGTCGGCTCCGCACCTGAGGGTGATGCCGGGGCGGCAACCGCGGAGGGTTCGTCCCCTCCCGTCCCGCCTCTCTCTCTTTGGGGCCGGCGGACGGAGCGGGGCTGGGAGCGAAGGGAAGGGGCGCGGAGAGGGCAGAGTCACCTCGATGGAGCGCTGCAGGATCGGGGGGTGCCGGGGCGGCCGCCGCCGGGGGAGCGGGGAGCGCTCACTTGTTGCCCTGTGGCACAGCCGCGCGCTATGCCGCGCGAGCGACCCGGGGCGCGCGCACCGCCCGCCTACCAACCACGCGCTGCAAGATGGGCGGAGCCACAGAGAGCGGCGCTCCCGGTGAAGCCACGCCCCTGCCCGGCCGGCGGCGCAGCGGATTGGCGGAGCGGGGACGTGGGCGGGAGAGGGGTGAGGGGGGCCTTGAGCCCATTCTGGCCCCAGTTGTCCTCGTGGTTGCCGCACTGTTGTGTCCCTGAGGAAAGGAGCGGGCGGGCGGTATGGTACTGCCGCCCTACCTGCCTCTACTCCAGCAGGACGCAGTCTTCCCCCCACCCCTCCCTCGGCACCGCCTCTCTCCATCCTGTCCCGCGGGACCGCTTCCGAGCCCAGGGCTGCCGCTTATCCCCGCATTCTGACCCCATCGCTTTGGTGTCCGCCCGCAGCCCAGCCTCCCTTCTGCCATGTTTTCCCTCGACGCCTCACAGGTCGTGAGGTAAAGCTCATATGGAAGGGGAAATGCACGTTCCCAGCATGTCCCCAGACAGCAGTAGTTCGCTGCAAAGCACGCCATCGCTGTCGGCAGAGGAGAGAGAAGTCACCCAGGGGCTTCCCCACCAAGTGGAGGGTGCCCCGTTTGTACGCCATTCCCACAAGGAGGGAGCAGTGCTTGACCTGGCAGAAAGGCAGACACCAGTGCATTTATGTCTGCCAGCTTTGTTAGTGGGAGGTGAGCTGACACCTCTGTCCCTCCCTCCTGTAATATTAAAAACATGTTTCTGGGGTAAAACCTAGGTTTACAGGCTGGTGGCCTCTAGATCCACAGGGGCAGCTGGTCACTTACCTTGCCTTATGACAATGTTCATTCCTTTGGGGTTTTTTCCACAGAGCATCAAAGCCATGCTAAAGAAACGACATTTCACATCACCTTTTTATAAGGTTTCTCATTTTTAAGTAAAGTAATTGAAAACTGGCTCAGCTTTATGTGATGGTCTGTAAAGCTTTTGTTACTGTGGGGAGGAGAAGGAAAGGATTGGTTTAGGCTCTCAGTGCTTCTCTTGGTAAATAAGTTTCTGAGAGCTCCAGCTTTTGGCAATTTGCCCTCCAGAGCTGATACTAATCATGCAGGACTCACTCATTAGTAACCCTCTTCTTTGCTGTTTGCTTACTTGCTGAATTGATGAGATGACAAATCCTGGCGAGATACCCTTATGGAAACAAACTAGAGAAATCTCCAAGACGCGGGATGGTTACTGAAATAAAACATACAACTGTGTGCTGTTACAGCAAGGAATACAGGCTTCAGACTCATCAGGGCCAGAATGATAGCCACCAGCAGACAGATTTACAGCTCCCTTGGACTGTGAACCTCACAGCTTTTTATCCTGTCCGGGAAGAAAATGAACACATGCCATTTGTTTCTATTTTTAGCACCTGCATTCTCAATCCAATATAAGGAGAGGCCCAAACCAAAGCAATTATCTCAATGTCACCTGGCACAGTCACTTAAAAACTGTTTTCATTGCAGGGGGAGAGGTAAGCATGTCCCCACGATCCACAAAAATACACACCTATGCACTTTCATTTTACAGCACTCATTTTCCGCAAGCTTCAGTACCTGATACATACAGCAATAAAGGCTGGTTTGGTAAACAGCACGAGTGCTCATAGCACGCTCTGAGCTCTGTGTAATTACATATTGGAGGCTCAGAGAAAACCTGTGAGTCTCCTGCTCAGAAATCTCCTTTAGGAGTCTGAAAGGAACATCCATATCCACAGTTCTTTGGGAGGGACATTGCATATTTCATTCCTCTTCAAATATTTATATATGTACTTCACGTCTGAGTAAAGCTGTCCTTTTCATCGAAGTAGAAAGATTACAGCAAAGGGAGGAGTTACCCTAAATCACCAAGCATCTTTGTTCATTAAGTAACACAAGGCTTGAAAGGAGAATTAAGCGTCTGACAGCCAGGAACTTTGCTCCAGTGCATGGGAGATTTCATAACAATGTGTTTTGAGATCAATAAAGAAAAAAGGAAACCAAAAACCAACCAGAACAGCGTGTCATGTAACACTGGGTGCTAAGGAGCCCGGAAAAGCACACTGAAGATGTAAATTTTGGCCAGCGGTGAGGTGGTCTTGCTGTCTTTAGGGGAAGAAGACTTCTCTTTCCTCCTGGTCCCACCCCACAGCCGTGCCTGCTCCTCTGTAATCACACCGACTCCACTGGTCACGGGGCTGTGTTGTGAAACCTCGAGGAGGGGGAGGTGTCTTAATCCAAATATATTCCCTGATCCAACTGGCAGCTGAGCCTCAAAAATCAGCTGGAAGGAGGAAGATACCTAGAACTGACACTGCCACTGAGCACAGTGTATTTTCAAAACACTGCCTAACTGCAGTGTCCCCCCTGTTCTCGGTGCAGCTATACCCTACAAACCCCAGCGAGGGGTAAGGCAGGGGCTCACTTTGCAGTCCCATTACCCTGAGTGCAGGCAGCTTGACCTTCCCCAAATCCATGCATCATTAAGCCTCGGGAGGTTTCTTACCTGATGCTGACGATTAATAGGACCCAGCAGGGGTAATGGTGAGCACAGCACAGTCCTGGGGTAGGGACTGCCGAACTTCAGTGTGCCTCAGCCAGCTGCAACCACCTGAAAACTGCTCCAGCTCTCAACTCGAACCTCCTCTGTCAGTCAACAGGTTTAATGAAGTCTCGTTAGCATAAAAGTCCTAACGAAGCAACTCTCCCCCCTATCCTGCCATGACATCCTCCTTCAGGTTTCTCTTCAAAGCAGCCTCCTTCCCTCCTGCCCCACGCTGTCTTACTGGGGGCCATGACACTTCCCTGTCCCCACTGGGGTTTCAGGGATGAGGCGAGCACACTGGCTGGCACCAGCTAACCAACTCCTTTGAGGAGAAGCACCTCAGTTGCTCTCAGATTTATATCTATTGTGTTTTATTTATCTCTCTCCCTTTTCAGCAGACCGTGTTGCTTACTGCCACTGAGACAGGAGAAAACAAGGACACAAACCTACCTGATGCCCTGTCATGCTGTGTCATGACCTGATACAACCTTATACATTCATTAATTGGAACCAGTTCCTAGCAGCACACAGACATGCTGTTCCCAAGCTCTTGCTGTTGTTATCATTGCTTCCTTGACAGAGCCTGCTGGGAAAGAGGATTTGGTATTCAACTGTTGAGACAGGTAGTGAGGTGCCACAGTAAGGAGTAACCTTATAAAAATACACTTTTTAAAGCACTGGTGATGGAGCAGACACTCGTTACATCTGCCAGAGTGACTGTGAGGGAGTATGGACCCCTCTGTGAACAGCAGGATGAAGCAGAACATAGAATCGTAGCATTGGGACTGCATCTAAACACAGATGTACAACCTCCGCTGGATGGCTGATTGTGCTTGGGTGAAGCTAAGGAAGCCATGAAAAATTTGATGTTAAAGTTGTTCTGAAGTTTGTTTCATTAGAAAGGAAGCAGGATTTTCATTATTCAGGTCTTTAAAGCTGAGCTTTGTTATGGGCACATTAGTAAATACTTTTTTTTTCCTGAGAAAGAGAGCAGATGAAAGCATCTGCTGCATGATTGCAACTGTTCTCAGCAGCACATACACAGTTTAAATTCGCCTGAATCTGGAATAACTTTTTTGCCTACATATTAAAAAATACCACCTTGACTCAGCATCATGATGCAAATGATTAGACCCAGTGTACAGCCCTTGCCAGTGAGTTGCAGAACATCAGACATTTCTCAGGGGCTGGTTACAGGGAAGTCGTGTGTTCAGGCCGTTGGTGTAGTGCCACTTGGTGACACAAATTCTTGTTGTCTGAGTTTTTCCATAGGTAGTGTGATACACACGACCGCCAGAAAAGAGTCTTTTAAAAGGATATAACTCTCATTTTGTATCAGGTTCAAAACCATTTCTATTTTTTCCAGGCTATTTATTCATTGCTGTCATTGCAATTGGGTGCACTGGTATGAAAGCTGACTGGGGGGCTATGGCGTTTGCAGCTATGGAAATGAGCTATGTACTCATGTGTGCCTTTTCTCAGCAGTATTTGCCTGTTAATTAATAATTGGTACATTGCCAGGAGCAAAGGAGAAGTAGGAATGAGTCCCAGGTTATAAAATCTTCAAGGTTATCTTGCTCTTCCTGTTTCCCAGCAGCAAAGCAAGAGTACGAGAAGTCAGACACAGCTAGGTTGTGATGAGATGGGGCCTGGCTATGGAGCACTTCCCCTTGGGAGCTGTGGGCTGCTGCCCTGGGGGAGCCACATGGCAGCACATCTGGTTCCACAATACCTCCTGGGCTCATCACAGCAGCTGCAAGCACTTCCTCCCCCAGCAGACACAGGATTTTCCCTTAAATCTGTGTATTGCCTGGGATTTCCAGGTACTTGCAGCCACAGGATTTTCCCTTGAATCTGTGTATTGCCTGGGATTTCCAGGTACTTGCAGCCGCCCTTGTGAACATGGTCAGGGTCTCCTCCCCACCACCCATCTCATCAGAAACACTGATTAGCTCCATTCTATAAGGAGCACCTGCAAGTCTATCATTTGCATTACAGAAATGCTTGGCCCAGACCACTTACTCCACATCCTGTGGGATTAATGACATCTCTTATCACGACAGCCCCTGCTTCAAAGCGTGCACCCACCACCTGGGCCAAAATGCTGCTGGCTGCAGGCACACATGTACTGAAACACTTCCCAGCCTCCCTCTAGTAAATACTCACCTAGTTCACCTTGCTTAAACGCTCTCCTAAGGCCAGTGCATGCTGGAATTACTTTTCTGTGACGGACCAGAAAAGCTTATCCAGGACACAGGTCTAATCTGATTTTTGTGGACAGACTGGCGTGGCTGGAGAACACCTGGAAAGCATGGGACTAACCTGAGTGTGCTTCTGTGACCAAGGAGGGTAAGAACACAAGATAAGAGGTTAAAATTTAAATAATAACAAGAGCCTAAAGATTGCTCCTGTGACATGTGAGCACTTCAGCAGCAGCCCTGTTTTTCAAACAGAAGTAAGAATGCAAAGACAACATGC